GAGAGGGAGGGGGGCCGGGTCGGGAGGGAAGGAGGAGAAGCTGGATGGGGGGAGGGGAGAGAGAGATGGGACAGCTGGAGTTCTGAGACAAAGGAAGCCCGTGTGAGGTCAGTCACAGATAGGCCAGTGACTCAGGGCCAAGTGGAGGTGCCCCTGACTCCCAGCTCCACTGTCTTGCCCCACCTCTCCCTCTCCACTGCTCCGTGGATCCCCTCTAGACACCTCAAACTCCCGTTTGGAACTGAGCTCTCAACTGCTCCTGGAAAAACAAACAAACAAAAAAAACCCCACTGCTTTCTTCCAGTTCCATCAAAAAATGTTGGCGACATCCTCAACTCCCGTCTTTCTCATCACCCTCCAAGCCATCAGCCGACTGTCATCTCCACTTTAAACACATCCAGAATCTGACTGCTTCTCACCCCCTCCCGCCACCCCTGAGCCTGGCTCCTCTTCCTCTCGCCAGGATTGTCACAGTTGCCCACGGGTCTCCCTGCTCCTGCCCTCGCCCCTCTGGAACCTAGAATCGGCACAGGGCCAGGTTGAAACAGCTCAAATGTAAATCAGAGCATGGCCCTCCTCTGCCCCACGCCCTCACCTCTCTGGCTCAGAATAAGAACAAGCCCTGACAGTGACCTCCAGACCCTGTGAGATGTGGCCTCGCGGTAAACCTCTCAGACACCCCCACACACACAGCCCTCCTTCCCTGCTCGCAGGCTCCAAGGTACACCAAGCTCACCTCTGCCTCAGGGCCTTTGCCGCTGCTGATCCCCCGCCCGAATGTTTTCACCTGAACACGGCCAGGACTTGTCCTCTCACTTCCTCCAGGTCTCTGCTCAAGCGCGAGGCCTCCTCAGTGAGGCCTCCCCTGACACCCTTTTACAGTGTCAGCCCCACCTCATCCCCAGCCCCAACCCTTCAGATCGCCTTTCCTCTTTCCCACGGTCCTCGTTCGCCTTCACCATCTCACACACCGCCTGTTCTCTAATGACTTTGTTTGTCTCTCCCATGGAAAGATACGCTCCATGAGGGTGAGGACTTATGCTGTGTGTTCACCACTGTATCCTCGGGGTTTGGCCCGATGCCCAGCACTCAGTGGACACACACTGAATGTGTGGTGAGTGGGTGAAATGTAAAAACAGACGGACTGAGGAAAGAGACAGAGAGAGAGAGACACTCGTGGAGATGTGGGAAGGCGAACAATGAGAGGAAGAGATGTGAGAGAGAGGAGAGCCAGTAGAACGAGGACAGGAGTAGCTAAGAGAGACATGGACCTCCCTGGCAAGGTAGAAACAGACACAGGTAGAGAGAGGGGCAGAGCCGGGATGGAGACAGGAGGGTAGAGGGGAGGGGAGACGGGGTTGGGGAGCCCCTGACTGTGGCTTTGGTTGGAAGAGGTCGGATAGAATAGAAAGCGGAAAGGGTTGTAGAAGAACCCGATCCAGTGGGGGAGGTCAAGGGTGGAGGGAATGGCTACCATTGCACAGATGAGAAGGAGTTCCTGGAGCCCCCTGCGTCCCCGCTACAGCCCCTGTACATCGTCAGTGAATGACCTCTGAGCCCACCGTATGCCCCGCTCTGTGCTGAGCACTGGAGAGAGTGGGGAGGGAAGTTAGTCTGACAGGAATCCAGATGGGTGACAAGCCCTCGTCATCTGTGTGACGGCTGTCTTGGAGATGGAAGTGCACACGCAACCTGTGCAACCTTATGTGGCAGCCCCAGGTGAGGACACAGACACCATCCTACTAACTGCCCAGGGGCTCCCAGACCGGGCGATACCCTCCGGGCTCGGGAGCCAAGTCCTAGAGGCGACAGGAATGGAGCTGGGCTGAGTACCTGGGTCTGGTCAGATGTAAACATGAGGGGACGAGCATTCCAGCAGAGGAACGGCGTGTGCGGACGTATGGAGGCAGAGGAGTGGTTGTGTGCCTGGGGAAGAGCGGGCTGTGATAGCTACAGTGGACTGAGGAGTGAGCAGCGAAGGTAAAAGCTGACGGGCCTCCAGGGCAGGCTGAGGAGCTCAGACTCTGTCCCCGGGCTGGCTGTACCCTTCTTGTGGCCACAGCTGTCCTGCCTTTGAACTCCTCCACCGCCCTTCCACCCAGGCTGTTGGCACAGTCTTTCAACCTCCCCCTCAGCCTCTGGCTGGGCCCCAGACCTTGGGGCAGGTGGAGGGCATTATCACCATTTGCCAGGAAACTGAGGCCCAGAGAGAGGAGGAGGCTTCCCTGGGCTCTCACAGTGAGGTAAGAGCCAGGAGTAGGAGCTGGCCGACTCCTTGCCTCCCAGATCAGTGCTCCCGCCCACCTGCTCCCCTCCTCTCCAATATCGCTCTCTGTACCCCTTCAGTCATCTCCCTCCTCCCGCCCCTCCCTTCCCGCCTGCTTTTATCAGCACTGAAAGGGCCAACTTTGAAACCTTCTTTCATCTCTCCTTCTGGCCCCTTCCCTGGGGCTCCTCAGATGTGGAGGCGGTGAGAACCTTGAGACAGGTCCAATTTAACACCACAAACATTTACCCAACTCCTCCTCCGTGCCAGGCCCTGAGCCAGGCCTGGGGACACCACCGAGATGACTCAGCCAAGGGCAGAGCTGGAGAAGGGTGCCCAGTCTGTAGAGACAAACATAGAAAAGGAAGCCAGTGAGAGGCTGGGGAGACAGAGACGGGTCCTCAGAGGCCACACATGCTCCCGAGGGCCTGGCTTATGTCCCAGCTCCCTAGTTCCTAGGGTCATGGATTCAGCCAACACCTATGAATTGAGTCGTGTCCAGCATTGTTCCAGGAAATGCAGAAATGGTGATGACCCTATCCCTGACCACATGGGCTTTGCCTTCTCCTGAGGGGAGACAGTCAACAAGTGATTCACGGGATCATCTGCATATATAAAAGCCTAAGCGACTGTTACAACCAGTCGATCGGTAGCTATGATGATGCACTGACCACCAGGGGACAGACACTCAACACAGGAGCTGCCCCCTGATAGTCAGTGAGCTCCCACAGCCAACCTCGCGCTTCCCTCCCTCCCCCCTCGGCAGGCCCCAATAGGCCCCAATCACTGGCCAGGCCGAGGGACCGCACCCGTGCACGAATTCATGCACCGGGCCTCTAGTTGCTTATAAGAGCTATGGAGGAAATAGACAGAGTCGTAGGATAGGGGGTTTGCAGGCCACAGGGAGCTATTTGTATTGAGCTGTCAAGGAGTTGATAAATGAGCTGAGATCATATGGTAAAGAGAGCCAACCATGCAAAGATGTGGGGAAGTGCAGGTGCAAAGGTCCTGAGGCAGGAACAAGCATCGTGTGTTCCTGGAAATGAAGGCATGAAGTGGTATCCTGGGAGGTTTGGCCTCGCACAGTAGGCGCCTGGGAAATACAGAACTGCATGTGTACAGGATGGTTTTTCTGAGTCCCGGTGCAGGGGAGATGGAAGGTGCCACACAGGGTTGCATCTGTGCTTCAGAATCTATTTTACTCGTTTTACAGATGAAGAAACTGAAGGTCAGAGAGGAGAAGTGACTCATCCAATGTCACTCATCCTGAAAGGGAAAGGAATGGGCTTTAACCCATGATTGTCCCTTCTTGAGTCCATCCTCCTGCCGTTTCGCCCCTGCTGTTACTCTCTCTCTGTGGTTAACGCAGTGACCAAACTTGTGCCGTGCCTTCCCCAGTACATGAGGCACAGAGATGAGTCAGACATGGGTCAACGGGAAGACTAGGCTGCCACGTATATGAATCTGGTGACAGATCTAAGTCTGAGTGGGTTTGGGCTGAGACAGGGGCGTGAGGACTAAAGAGCTTCAAGGAGGGGCAAGTTCTCTCGCATCAAGGAGAGACATGAACACAGGCTTCCCCCAGGTGGCCCCACAGGGCCGAAAAGGATGAAGTGGAATAGGAAGGGGGCACCCCGGGGTGGAGTGATGGTGAGGGCCAAGGGGTAGGAGCAGAATCATGGAGCCAGGAGGTTACGTTCAGGAGCAGGAAGATCAGCTAGATGAGCTCACATGAGAGGGGTTGGGGGATGAGGACAGGGACAGGCTGTGAAGGACCTTGATGTCAGGTGAGGGAGTGGGGCTTGATCCCTCGGCAGTGGGCAGCCTTGGATAAAGCTCTCGAGGGAGGAAGGAAAGTGTTCCGATGGGCCCAACTCTGGAAGAGGCAGCCGTGTGAGTCTCCTTTGAACATCAAAAACAGGAAAGCCCACCCCGGACCCGAGGGAGAGAACCCTAATGCGCTCCAGCACTCCACAGTGGGTGCGGCAGAACGGGTGTGGGCTTTGGGATCACGAAGATCTGGTCTGAATCCCAGTTCAGTTGTAGAATCGTGGGGAAATCCCTGCCCCTTTCCCAACCTGTTTTCCCATCTCTAAGACGGGCATCATGATCGTACCTACCTCATTCATTTACTCAAAGGATGGGTATTTAGTGTCTACTAGGCTCCAGGTTCTGTGCTTGGTGCTCCCAGGGCCGGAGGGAGGATTACGGGTTTGGATATTACCATTTTCCTTGGTGGTCTGGACACTGTTTCTCCCCTTCACTCTGCGACCAGTATAACCACATACAAATGTCTAGGCATCGTGTGTAGGCTTTGAAGTGTGCCTTAAGGGTGATGGGGAAGAGGGAAAGAGTCACAGGCAGGAGGGAGTGAGCAGAGAGAAATCCCTGGATTTGGGGAGGCAGCCCTTTCATAGCTAAAGGGTGCCCCCCGCTTGTAGCTCAGGTAGGGTCTGCATTGTTCAGCCTGCTGCATGTGTGTCTACATGAACCAACACACAGGAGCACCAGGAAGGCTGTACACAGCAGAACCTGCAGACTTTCATGTTTATTATGCCTGTGTGCACTGTCTATCTATGCACATATGTATGTGGTGTCCATGCCTGCTTGCGCACCCAAGACAGGGAGCAGTACCCTCCCCACCCTACCCTGGGCAACCTGTTTGTGGCATGTGGGCGCTGGCAGGTGTACCTGGGTGGCCCTAAGGAGGGTCTCCTAGACCTGCGGCTCTGGACAGACGTGGCCTAGGAACTCGACTCTGCCACTAACCAGCCCTTTTGCCCCAGGGCTAGAAACCGGGCTTCTCTGAGCCTCAGTTTCCTCATCTGTAGAATGGGGTGAGAGTGCCTGGGAGGATTTGAGGAGCTTAACGCATAAAGCTTTACACAGGCCTGGCACAAAGTCTTGCTTGGCAAATAAAAAGAAGAGCCAGTTGGTACATGACATGGCAGGCGCCCACTGCTGTTATGTGTTTTATTGGTAGTCACTTGTCTAATCTCACAACCAGCCTGTGAAGTGGGTACCATCATCACTATCACCATCTCCATTTTTAAGAGGAGGAAACTGAAGAAGAGAGAGATTAAATGACTTGCCCAAAGTCACACAGCTAGGTTTCAAACCCAGGCAGGTGGGCGCCAGATCTGCACTCCTGCCCACCCCTCACCCCCCAGGCCTCCCTTGCACATGTGTGGGCACGCGCTCACTAGCTGACATGCCACGTTCTCTCACTGCACTCTCCCACCCCCGCCTGCTCTGGTCCCCCTTCCTGCTTTCCAGGTCCTGGCTGACCGACGAGAAGCAGGATAGTGAGATTTGAACAGAATCTTCTAGACCAGTGGTCGGCAAACTGCGGCCCCTTGAGTGTGGCTCTTCCACAAAATACCACGTGCGGGCGCGCACATACAGTGCGATTGAAACTTCGTGGCCACACTCAAGGGGCCAAAGAGCCGCATGTGGCTCACGAGCCGCAGTTTGCCGACTACTGTTCTAGACCCATGGGGGCCTCCTATCTTCTCAGGCCACTTGGCAATACTCCAGCGTCCATACATGGCTCCTCCCATTCCCAAGCACGCAGACCACACACTGGTTGGAGGGACTTCTGTGTACCCCTCGCCAGGCATTTCTGAATAAAAATTAGAATAACAATAATTCTCACTCACGAAGTAATTTTCCTGGAACTCCAGCTCGATATTTAATCCTCCCAACTGGCCAGGTAGGATTATCATCTCTATTTTGCTGAAAATTAGGCTCAAAGAAGGAAGTGACTTACCTGGGTCAACCTGGGCCTGGATCCAGACTCAGGGCTGAGCAGCTGCCTCTTAAGCCTTTGCTCTTCCGACTGTAACGCAGTATCTCACACACAGACACGCACACCACTCACCTAGTCAAGCCACACACACTTTCCACCCACCACGCAGACCAGACACACAGCTCATGCCCCTGCACGTGTGGCACACAAGCCTCTGCCCACCCCACGCTGCCCCCACGCTTGTCAGGCCACACTCCTTGCCACATGCTGTGCCCATCCCCCTACCTCCCACTCACTGGCTGGCTCCCTGAGCTGGAACAAAACCACCTGGGCTCGGCCAACCACAGTGACCTGCAGCCCCAAGTCTTTAGCTGGTTAATAGCGGCCCCTCCCCCTTGGCCTTGGGAACAGCTGCCTCCACTTAGATTCTAGGCCCCCCTTCCTCTCTGGGAAGGAACAAAAGAGAAAAGCTGGGGGGAGGAGGATCGGAGGAGGGAAAGGAGAGGAGCGAGTGAGCAGAAAGGAGAGGAGAGGAGAAGCAATAGGAGGCAGTGGGCATCCTCCCACAAGCCCTACCTCATGCCCAACCCTGACCCCCTCATCAGGAGCCCCAGGTTGTGTCATTCCCCTGGACTCCATTCTCCTGCCTGAAAATTCAGGAGGAGGTCTCCATAGTCCCTTCCAGCTGAGCTGACACTCAGAGGCTGCTTCTACCTTCTTTGGATGCAGACATCTGACAGGGCCGGGCTGGGGGCAAAGGGGACCTGAGGCTCCACGTGCTGCCGCTGTGGGTGGGTCAACAGCTAGAAAGAACTCTGGTCTGGAGTCCCAAATGCGGGTACGAATCCCAGTTCTGTGACAGTCCCTGTGCAGCCTTGGACAGGTCATCACTGGCCCATATGGCACTCTTGAGAAGATGCTCCCTGGGCGAGGACACGCGACTTGGCAAGCAGGACACTGGCTGGACTTCACCCCCTCTTCCCCCTTCAGCCTGGCACCTTTGTCAGGACACAACCTTCATAACTACACTGGCTTGGCAGGTGTCCTCTCTGAGCCTCAGTGTCTTCATCTGCAAAACAGGGAGATGCTATCAGCCTTACGGGAAGCCAGGCACGACCTCATTTGTCTTGTTTGCCCCTTTATTCCCAGGACCTAGCACAGAGCAGCACAGAGAAGGCACTCCGTTAATGGCTGGGCGCACAGGAATGAATGGAGGGCTGGCTAGAGGAAAAGCAAGCTGCAAACTATTTGAACCTTCCCACACACAATCACCCACAGGACCGAGGCTGGTCAGGGGCATGGCCGGTGTTGGCTTAGCAATTTAGGGATAGGGAAAGGCACTAAATGGGACTCAGGAGACGGGCTGCACTGCCCACTATGGCCATGTGCACAGCCCTTAGCCGTTTCCCACAGCCTTCAGCTCCACGACCACAGTAACTATGAAAAGAATAGCGCTGGCCGGTGTGGCTCCGTTGGTTGGAGCATCGTCACATATACGTGATGAAAGGTTGCTGGTTCGACTCCCAGTCAGGACATGTACCTAGGTTGCAGGTTCGCCCCCTGGTTGGGGCACAGTACGGAAGGCAACTAATCTATGTGTCTCCTCTCTCTCTCTCTCTCTCTCTCTCTCTCTCTCCCCCTCTCCCCCTCCCTACCCTTCTCTCTAAAAATTAAGCATATCCTCAGGTGAGGATTAACTAATTTTTTTTTAATAAAAAGGGCTGTCACCTATGCCCAGATCTGTGAATCACCTCCTACAGTCCACACCAGTGGCAGGTATTAATCACACCCTTCCCCAGGTAAGCACACAGAGGCCACGGAGGCCCAGTGACTTGTCCAAGGTCACACAGACAGAATAAGTAGCAGTGGACTCCTCTCAGACCTGTGCAGTCCCACTGGGCGTCATCATCCCCATTCAGCAGATGAGGAAACTGAGGCCCATAGAAGTTTGGTAATGCAGCCAAGGCCCCATTGAAGGGTCATGTCAGGGCTTTGGGCTCCCAGCAGGGGTGTTTCTGGTGGCCTCGCCCACTCTGGAAGGTGGGGAAAGGGCCCCTCTTCTCCTGCCGGGGGGGAGGGGGGGGGCAGAGCCTCGGGCTGAACCCTGCCCACCAGGCAGCTTTGTCCTGCCGCACAAAGAGCCCGTGCTTGGCATTCGAGGCCTTTGTGGGCCATGCAGCCTGGCAGCACCCGCCTGCGTTATCAGCTCAGGAAGCGTCAGCCAGCGCTGGCGGGGCCTCTCTGGGCTGCCGCCCGAGACATGTGTTGGACACGGGCCTTTCAGGCCTGGAGCCGCCACACAAAGGCCCGGGAAGAAGGCAGAACAAAGGGCTTTTTCACTGGGCAGCTGAAAGCCGCAGATTAGTTCCTGCATGCTGTGCAGGCAGGGCGGGAGGGGGCAGCCAGCGGCTCCTCCCCCAGACCCACTAGGTACAGCATCACTCGCCCAAGTCCCTGATCAGGGGCTTCCACGCCCAGGCAGCCAGAGAGAGTCTCGTGACCCAGAGCCCACCCCTTTTCCCTGCTCAGAATTCCTCCTGGCCCCCCGTCCCTGTCCAACCTCTGAATCCTGTGGCCTGCGTGTTCTGGTGCCTAACTCTCCCCTTCCCTGTTCTAACCGTTTTGCATCATTTTCCCTTTCCTGAATAATTCTCACCACCTACCTTTGCACCCTCTGTTCCCCCTGCCCCATAAACAGCTTCCCCCTTCTCAGGCCCAATTCCAGGGTCACTGCTGATAGAAACAAAAGAATCGTATATCCAGCGAGTGTTAACTCCCTTCAGTGACTCTGCCTACTTCCAGCCCTTGCAACAGCCGTTAGCCCAGTTACCCAATGAAGAGACTGAGGCTCAGAAACGCTGAGGCTGCCAGTGGGCACACAGCAGGCACCCAGTGCAGCTGAGAAGCAAACCCAGAACCTTTCCACCCTCCTCTGGTGGAAAGGCTTGCTCTGCTCCTTGTGCCTCCCACGCAGGTGTCCTTCTTGGCGATAGGGCGGGGCGGGGCGAGGGACATGGCGCGGGTTCCATCTGGTGCCAGGGCACCTCAGTCAGCCCCGCCCTGCCTCCATCAGGTATGCCATTGACCGAGACTCGGATTTGGACCAGATCTTTGACATCGATGCGGACACAGGTGCCATCGTGACGGGCAAGGGACTGGACCGTGAGACCGCCGGCTGGCACAACATCACGGTGCTGGCCATGGAGGCAGGTAAGCTGGGGCGAGGGGGCAGGATGGAGAGAAGGGTGAAGGCTGGGGGGCAGGGTAAGGTGGGGCAAAGAGGAAGAACCCTGCAAAGATGGCAGGGTGGGAGGAAGGCAAAAGTCAATGGGCAGGCCCAGCCGCTATGGCTCAGTTGTTGAGTGTTGACGTATGAACCAGGAGGTCATGGTTTGATTTCCAGTCGGGTCACATGTTCCGGTTGCAGGCTCAATGCCCAGTAGGGGACGTGCAGGAGGTAACAATGAATGACTCTCATCATTGATGTTTCTCTCCCTTTCCTTTCCTCTCTGAAATCAATAAAAATATATATTTTTAAAAGTCAATGGGCAGGAACAGAGAAATGTGGGAAGGATCCAGGCCAAAATAGCAGGGCCAGTCTTGAGGCTGGTTTCTTCCCTCAGCATTTATTGAGCACCCACTGCATACCAAGCCCTGTGTTAGAGGCTGAGGATCAGCCCTGAACAAGACAGACAGGCTTCTGTCTTCCTGGGGGAAGCGAGCCTGTGAACAAATGGAGAGAAAAGGTGGACATCGAGTCAAGGGAGAGAAGAGAGCAGGGGAAGGCGGGCGGGGGGAGAGGGGGTGTTTCTCTTAAGAGAAGGCCTCTCTGGGAAAGAGGCATTTCAACAGAGACCTCAGTAAACTGAGGAGTCATGTTGATATCTAAGGGAAGAGTGTTTCGGCAGGAGGAACAGCCAGTGCAAACGCTCTGAGATGGCAGTTTGCTTGGCCTGTTGGAGGGTCAGCGAGGAGGCCAGTGTGTAATGAGGGGCAGAGTGGTCAGTCATTGTAGAGTCTTCGGCCTTTACTCCAAGTGAGGTGGGAGTCGGTGGGGAGAGTTGAGCAGAGAAGGCCGAAGTCTGACAGGGTGCCTCTGGCTGCTGCATTGAGAATGGAAAGCAGGGATCCGCTAGCCAAATGCCAGGGTGCAAGGAGGACACGCCAGTGGCCTGGCCCAGGGCAGGAGCTATGGAGGAGGGAAGAAGTGGTCAGCTTTCAGAGACAGGATGAAGGGAGAGCCAGCAGGACCTGCCGCAGGATGGTGTGGAACTAAGAGATGGAGAGAGGTCAAGGAGGGCTCCCAGGTGCTTGGCCTGAGTTTCCAGAAGAGGAAAGAGTGTGAGTGTGTGTGTGTGTGTGTGTGTGAGTGTGTGTGTGTGTGTGTGTGTGTCACAGGCACACTTTGGTGCTGCTGGGAAGGAGTGTGAACTGGGAGAGAAAGGCGGGGGAGTCCTGAGACATGGGGTCCAGATAAGTAAGGCCATTGAGGTGAGGAGCTAAGAGCAGAGGGATTCACGGAGCCGCAGGAGAGGGGAGAGGGCAGCTGCAGGCCTCCGCCATAGCCACACGAGGCTGCCCAGACCTGCTCTCCAAGCTCCCACACCCTGGCAGCTGTCAAGGTCTCAGAAGCCAGCAGAGCCGCCAGTCAGCAATCATGACAACAGGAGTCCTCGGTCTCTGAGCCTCAGGCGGCCGATTTTCAAACTCCCCTCCGCACCTCCTAGGCCCCAAGCCCCGCCTGGCCCTGTGAGCCTCCTGCCTTCTCCTCCTTCCGCAGCTGCCCTCCCACTTTGCAGGCCCCACCAGCCATCCCAGGGCTGGGGCCGAGGAAGTCCCTAGGCTGAAGTTCCCTTCGTCTCTTTCAACTTCAGTTTAAAAGAAAATACAAAGCTGGCTCAAACCTCAGTGCCTGCTGCTCCCAAGCCTTTGAATCCACTCTGCCACCACATGAAAGGCCGGTAACAAAGGTGGCTGGAGAGGAAGTGGCGGCTGGGCTGGGGAGAAGACAGCTCCCCCCCTTGCCTCCCTGAACCTGCTCCCTGGGCAGCCAGGGGGACTGGCCAGGCTGCTGGACAGAGATGCCTCCTCTCCCTCCCACAAACATCTCCTCCAGCAGCCGTCACACCACCTGATGGCCCACCACAGCACAGCCGCTCCTGGGGGAAGTGGGTCCCTGTCAGAGCAGCTAGAGTAGCATAGAAAGGCCACATTGCATCGCTGCCGTTCCACCGGCGGAAGAATGTGGGGGACTCTCCCCCATAAACATTTTACAGTGTTTACCTAATACACATTCAGGGCTAGTCGCTTTCTAGCAATTACTTTTCTCGAATCATAATCAGTAACAGATCAGCACCCATTTTACTGTTGGGAAAATTGAGGCTCCGAAAGTTAGGAGACGTGCCCAAGGATGTGCAGTGACAGAGCTGGGATTTGGACCAAGTCTACCCGGCTCCCAACATAGTATTGCTGTGTGGGCCCCCTTCCCCTGGTACTCGCTGCTGTCTGCGCCCACCCCTGTCCCACCCACCAGTCCCCAACTACTGACCATGGGGAAGGGGAAGACTGGTCACTGGGCTAGAGACACCCCCACCTCTGAGCTGCATTCCATAACCCCTGCCCAGCCCTCACCAGGATACTCATCAGTGGGGAAAGAAATGGCTCCCACTGCACAGTGCTGGTGGGGGATTAAGTAGGAAAATGCAAGGAGAGAACTTAGCCCAGTACTTACTAAGTGCTCAGTAAGTGGGACCTATCGATCTTGACTATGCACGTCACTTACCCACCGACTCTGTGCCAGGCACTGTACAGTGACGTGCTCACTGAATCTTCCCCCTAAGAGGTGTCGAGTCTGCTATATCCCCAGTATGTGGACGGGGACACTGAGGCTCAGAGAGGTGAAGCCATTGGTCCAAATCTCCAGCCCCAGCCAGTCTGACTCCAGAGCCCAGCTCTCACCCACTGCCCCTCAAGTCCTAATTCCTTGGTGCCCGGCAGAGGTTCCGGGGGGAACAGCCATGGCCCCAAGGTCACAGAGCAAGTCCATGTGGGGCCAGGGCTCCCCCCCCCCCAGGCCTGTGCTGGCAGCCTGCGGGAGCCCCCGTGCAGTGCCGAGGGGCCTGCCCTCCTGCGCCGCGGCCAAAGCATCCATTTGACTTCCACAGAAGCAGGGGATGCTCAGGGGTCACCATGCCCCGCCTGCTCTGGGTACAACAAACAAGGTGACAAGAATCAGAGGGGAAATATTTATACACAGCGGCCGAGCTGCGCGAGCCCCTCGGAGAGTGCAGCGTGGGAGGGTGGGAGCGCGCCTGTCACACTGGATTACCTCCAGACTCCCAGGCCACTTAGTATGCTGTCTCCCCTCTCCATTCCGCCCATGCCGACGCTCCTTCCCTGACATTATCTTTAACGTTTTGTAATCATGAAATATTAATGACCGATATTGAATTTAAAGTACAATTTGTGTCTGAATCCTTCGGTGGAAAGGGCAGTTGTAAAGGGACAGCCTTCAAAGAGAGGGGGGTGGGGTGCCGGGGGCTGCATCCGGCTCCCTCCTCCAGGGTCGGCAGGCCCTAGGCTGGTCCGGAGGGCAGGCATCCGTGCCCAGGAGAGCCAAGCCTTCATCATTAGCCAGACGCTTCCCCGTCCGAGTCACCCCAAGCCAAGTGGCATCTTATGGCACCTGGTTTTCCCTTTACGCCAGAGCGTGTGTTGTGATTTCTAATGTGCTCTCGGGAGTATTCAGTCAGTCTCTCTTCCCCAGGAAACAATGCCTTCTCCCAGGGCAGGGTCTCGTCTGTGTCTCAGCAGTCACACCAGGCCAGACAGGTAGTAGGCGAGTGTAAATGTTTAATGAATGAATGGCTAAATGGGCGCTCCCACCAGTTAGGACATGATGGAGAGGAACTGGCTCCGCTGCTTGCTTCCAGCTGTGAGTTTGGGCAGGTCACACCCCTCTCGTTCGTTTTCTCATCTATAAAATGGTACCACATTGGATAACTCAGTGATCATCGTTTCTATTTATTTGAGGCTTACGATATGCCAGACGGCATGCGGTAAGCTTTATCATGCCGAGTGCTTTATATAAAACATCTCATGTCGTGTGCATTAGAATTCATGCACGGAAGGCGCCTAGCACAGTTCCTGACACACAACAGGTGCTTTCACGGCCAGAGAACGAGTCTGAGGGGAGAGGGATGTTGGAGATGATGGTTTCCAGCCTCCTCACCCCCAGCCCATTTCATTGCTGGGGAGACTGAGCCCAGGGAAGGGAAGCAACTTGCCCAAATCCACCGATGAGGTGGCTTTCTGACTCCCGGGCCCGTGCCCCTTAGGAGGACGAGAGAGGGGTGCCTGCGGGGCTGGAGGAAGGACCAGGGATGGGGTGAGGGGTGCAGTGGTTTGAGGGTCAGAGAGCACTTCTCCTCCAGGGAGAACCCTCTCACACCATGTCTCCCTCAACCAGTGTTCGCTCAGGGCCCTCACCCACCTGCCCAGGGCTGGGCACGGAGACCGGGGGGTACACAGGGCCACTGGCCTTGGGAGCTCACAGTGGGCAGGGGAGAGACATGTCAACAGTGAGTGGAGTCAGGGGGCAGTGGGCACTCGGGAGGAGCGGGAGGGTGCCCAGCCAGAGGGAAAGAGGCAGGAAAGCTTTCGCAGAGGAGCAGACGTCTGAGCTGGGTCTCCAAAGCCAAAGAAGCCTTTCTGAGCGGAAAGGGGGCTCGGGTGCTCCCAACACAGAGGCCCCTGTGTGCACAGGCCTGGAGGCCTGCTGAGAAGGAGCACACGGGGGTCCGCGGCTGGGCTGGGAGAGGCTGGCGCAGGCGGGCGAGGGAGCACGCAGAAGTCACTGATGTCCCGTGAGCTGGGCGGCTCCTGGAGATGGCAGGAATCGGTGGGGGTCTTTGAGCAGAAGACTGCCCTAGTCAGAGGTGCGGTCCCCAACATTCGTTCGGGTTCAGAGGGGAGGGCAGACAGGAGGGGACCCGCCTGGAGCAGGAGAAAGATGGAGCTGCGAGGAAGACCCGGCTTAGATGCGTGCGGGCGCGCCGGCCGGGCGGGCAGGGCCAGGACGGGTGGAAGAAGTGCCAGGGAGGCCGAGAGTGGAGAAGAGGTTTGGCTCAGCCCTGCATGGAGGGGCCACTTTGGGAGGCAGTGACCTCCCCATCACCAGGGGGTGCAAATCGGGCCTGGGCTCCTCTTGG